CCGGGTAGGCATCATGATTGCATTCAGATTACCCGTCCCGGGTAGGCATCATGATTGCATTCAGATTACCCGTCCCGGGTAGGCATCATGATTGCATTCAGATTACCCGTCCCGGGTAGGCATCATGATTGCATTCAGATTACCCATTTCAGGTTGACAGCTGGAGGCCCTTTGCTGCTCACCAGCCCCATTCACCCTGTCAAAGGGCGTCAGAAACACCACTTTTTTAGCCCAAACTCCTGGCTAACCCTCTGGGGAAGAGGGCATCATCGGCGATGCCGCATATCTCTCTCGTGCATTTCAGTTTATATCTCGCTGAAATCTTCATGAAATCATGAAAAAAAAAACTCTGACTAAATCCGTAATCTGTCTTCTTTTCAAAATGTCTATTGTCGGAAGTATTAAAGTTTTTTAAATTAGGTTAAATAGGCTAAAAAGTAAACCATGTCACCTTACTTTGTTTTACCTGCATCGGGGGCGTGTAGTACCGCTCTCACCTGAAGATCGCTATTCACATTCTAAATAGCCGCATTACCGCGTATTCAAATCGCATTCACATGGTAATTTCATGAACAATGCAACAATGAAACGCGATCCAGATACATCCCGTCAGCACCATAAAAGGGGGGAGGGGATCTGGCCAGGTGTGAATGGCTCATGCATACACATGAAAGCTCCTACATATTCAATGGAAGGATATAGTGACAATAGTGACATGAGTTAGCTTTTTCTTATTTATTTATTTATCCAACTGAATGTTGCAACTACACCATTTGGTCATCTTCATGTAGCCAAGACTTTGGTGATCAGATATCTGGGATCAAAACAAACTGCCAGCATTTCTTACTATGTACTTTTATAATGTTTCTGCAATTGTTCCAAACTGCATTTTGCAATGTCTATACTTTGATGTCAAATTACAAACTTAACATAAATCTGACATATTTACAAAGTACATTAAAATGAAGATGAGTTTAAGGCCAAAACAAATACATAAGAAATAATTTGCCATGAATTAAGTTTATGATATTGAAATAAATGTGTGATCATGCCCCAGTCAGTGAAAGTGTGTTTCCTACCCCTAGTCCCCAGAGGGTTAAATCTATTAGCTCTAAAACATATCCTGCTTATCAGAGCACCACTGTAGTCTGAAATACACAGATAGGGGTCCAAATTCAGTCTCTGCCCCCACCCTGTGTATCTGCAGTAACTGCATGGGTCTCCCACAGTCCCAGAACATGTGGATTAGCATTAGCATCTGTGACCTGCCCATTGTGTGTGATCACCTGTGCGTGCCCTGCCAGACTGCCAACCGGCCTGTGCGCGCCCTGCCAGACTGCCAACCGGCCTGTGCGCGCCCTGCCAGACTGCCAACCGGCCTGTGTGTGCCCTGCCAGACTGCCAACCAGGGTGTGTGTGCCCTGCCAGACTGCCAACCGGCGTGTGTGTGCCCTGACAGACTGCCAACCGGCCTGTGTGTGCCCTGCCAGACTGCCAACCACTCACAGTGACACTGTACTGGATAGATAGGTTTGGATAATGGGTGAATGTACCTTTATTCAAGGCTGAAATACACAAAGATAAGATACAAATAAGACCATTTCCCACAACATATTGTCTAAAAAAAGTTAAACTATACACTTGCTATCTTATGCGTGGCAAGAAAATGTAAGATCCGTTTCTTTTACTCAGTTTTAGCTCCTTTGGAGCTTCTCCTTAACCCATTCATAGTTTTTTAAGCCTAAAAATCCCATTATGTTCAAATGATTTTCAAAAATTTTTGAGAAATTTAACACCAGCTACACCTCAGTCCCACCGCTGGTTGACTAGTGACTCATCTTCCAACCGCCTATCCAGTACTGGGTCGCAGTGAGTCAGGCGCCTATCCGAGGAACCACAGGGCATGAGGCAAAGCCCACCTCAGATGGGATATCGGTCCATCACATAGTTGAGTAACCCTTTTACCAAAAACAAATTACAATTTTTAAAACAGGCGAATATTTTATTGCAGCAATTCAGGTGGGGGCACCACTAGAGAGTTTGTGTTTATTTATAACACACATATTGGGCCCCCAACCCAAACCAATCCAATCATGTTCCAAATCTCTTTGGAATCACCCAAACTTCCCCTAATTTTACAGCACCTCTGAATTCAGGGCAGGTACTTTTGCCCAAAGGTATTACAACAAGGTCCTTAGAGGGATTTTAACGAAAATCCGATAAGTTAAGAGTTCTACACAGCCTACTGACCTTACGATAAACACTCCAGTAAGCAGAGGTGGAAAGTTCAGGTCCAGAAAGTACAAATCCAGACCAAGATTTTGTTTCAACCAACCACTTCAGTACCCTGTGACTGTGACTATTTATGCTCAATGGGTTGGTTGAAACAAAATCTTGTTCTGGATTTGTACTTTCTGGACCTGAACTTTCCACCTCTGCCAGTAAGCAAACCCTGCAGAAAGCTGCTAATGGGCTGTGAGTACCTCCCAGACAGCTCTGACCTAGTGGATTCCATAATTTTAAGCTCTGACCAAATTTGGTAACACTCCTTACAAATGTGCTGGGCCTATTTTTTCTTTCTCTCAGGACTGCTGTAGTGACCTTCAGCCATTTCTCATGGCACACGTTGCATGTCCTGCAGGAAAACACATAACCTTCATGTTGTATGGGCCTGCCTAGTTCTGTACCACCGTTTCCCAGGTTTCCACTCCACTGTGGATGCGGTTCTATTTCAGTCGATCGTTCTGAATGTGACATTTGCTGGTCACTGCCTTTACGGGCACAGTGCTTCTTAATGACATGGATGTATGAGCTGAAACTAAACAAATGTCCTGTTTTGTACACCGCCATTGCAGTTGAGCCTGGCTACAGACTGGGTCAGATAAAAGTTAAAAAAAAAAAAAAAAAAACACGAAGGAACAAGGAAAACTTTGCCGTAAATGAGCCGCATCAAACGTATAATTTACAACCCTTCAGGCTGCGTCAAATCTCTTCCAAAATAGATGAAGGACATACAAGCATCGTATATGTACCACAGAGCATTAATTGTCAGCAGTCAGCTAAATGAAAAAAAATCTTCAATTAATCACATTCCAGAAGCCTGTATACCTTTTTCAACATCTCAGTAGATCCAGAGTGACCGGAGGCTGACACCAGCAGACGTAGATACGGGGGATGATCTGCTGCTGTGAGCTGTGACACTGCTGCCCTTCCACTTATCATTCTTTATTTAAACCGTTTACAAATAATTCTTAAATGTTGGTGATCAATACAACCCTATCATTATGTTTATATAGCAAGGGGCTTGACATGTACATTTGGCAGATGCCTTTACCCAAGGCAAAATAATTTTTTTCTGAGAAATCAGAATCAGACACTCCCTAGAGCGTCCTGGGGTTAAGGGCTTTGTTCAAGGGTCTAGTGGTGACATCACTCTGCCGACCCCAGGACTTCAATCAGTGACCATCTGATTGCTATTGGGTAATGTTATGGACACTGAGTCAAACTGCACATCCAGGTCGAGATGTCGTGTATTTTATAGCCCGAATCAGAAGAGGAACAGTGAACTGCTTTTTATGTTAGGGACATCAAAATCCTGTAAAATTAACTCCACTCTGTGATCTGCTCGCGGTCTGAAACAGAACAAAGCTTTGGGGGTAAAGAACTTCAGTGTGTGAGTGAACCTATGGATGGATGGAGTGAACTCTGAGTAAAGATTTTTTCTCCACTGGTATGAAGTTACCTCCAAGCTCCTTCACATTCAGCACGGCATTGTGGAAGGGCACCGCTTTGATGCTGAATCCTGAAAGACAGAGAAATCACGAGAATGGTCATTAGCATAAGCATGACTGCGAGGACACAGCAAAAAGTCAGCGTGACGAGGCCACATAATTTTTGTAAATTTTTTTGTAAATATACTAAATACGGGTGCCAATCTCAATAGGAATATAACAATAAACTCACTTGACTCAAAGAAATGTTTTCTAACACGTAATTTAAACATATTGTAAATGCACTACAGATGTGTGCGGAACCGCCGCTTATTTAATTATTGCTGTATTATTATTGGTTCACGGCCGATGAGTTTGTGTCGTTTGTATTTGATGTTGTCATGATCCTCTCCGACACCCTCCTGAACCGGTTTGCTTTTGCTGGATTTCCTTGCACCCCAAGTTTTTTCACTTACTGTATTTCACTGGCAGGAAGATACCATGTTCATAAATATAAGATGTTGTCACTGGATTTCATTTTTACTTGGATCTACTGCTTTCGTCTCTTTACGAAACTGTTCTTTTCATGACATATTTACTCGATCACGTTTAATTGAATTGAATTCCCTTTGGCTTGTTTGTATTTCCAGTCACAGATCCATGCCTTGCTCCCACATAACAGGAGCCCAAGTATTTAAGCAGCCGAGTACTTAAGCAGAACCACAAGCAAAACAGGAAAAATTGCATAATCACCTTAGCGTGTCATTCCAAGAAAAGGTTTTTTGTTTTTTTTTTAGAGCAGTTACAACACGCTGGAAAACAGAATTTCACCCTTATTTTATAGTTCCTCTGTTAGTTTTTATAGGGATGGCTCTCGTAATACGAATGTTGTCACTTATGGTGAGATTTAATTCTGTTATAAAGCTGACAAGCACAGCAGAGGTGACACACAGTCATGCGGTGCGACCATTTCCCTCTCAGCAAATGTGCATAAATGACACCCTGCACAACATCAGCTCTTTGATATGACCAAATGTAAGAGGTTGTGTGACTTTCTGTTTCTGTTCACATGCATGGAACAGAAACTACATACAGGTAATACAGGGAAAAGTAGGCTTTTTAACAACTGATCTCAATTTTATATTCTCATTAAAAAAAAAAAAAAAACTTTACTTGTGGGAAGACATTCTTTTAAAAAGCGATGCAGCTTGTTTGAATGAGAGCTGATTGCTGGAGCGAATCCATGGAGCACTGTATGATTATACAAGTATAAAGAAGGCCTCACCGGTGGTGGGACCAATGGCGTCAGAGCCTTCGTTGCACAGGCAGGAGAGGAGCGAAGTCTTCCCAGCACCGGTCAGTCCTATACACACGACATCATACTCAGGTCTGGGCGGCGGCGGAGCTTTGCAGCAGAGGATACGGAAACACTGGCAGGACAAAAAGAAGAGAAACGGCACTAACAAACGGCATATTGGGTCATTTTTAAGGATACAAAAGAGACACCGTGCATTGTTTAAAAGACACAGACAACAGTTCAATAAACATCTAATGCAGAAAATTCACAGGCAACGTGGCCAAAAACGACAGAGGAACATATTTTCTCAGAATGGAGCATTAAAGTTATCTTCGTTTAAAGTGCACCGCGGGGCTGGTCGGTGCCGTCCGTCTGCACAGTCGCCGCAGGTACGGATGCAGCCCTGTCAGCCCATGAATCAGTGTCTGTGACCGCAGGCCTGCTGTGAGACATTAAGGCTGAAAGGTGGCGTGAACCGCCAATGAGATGCTTAAGAGGTGAGTATGCAGAACTAAAAAGGGCTCCTTTTTATTGGTGAGACGGGCCCCTCGCTGTGATCCAGGTTCCCCGTCCTTCTGTGTGATCTCTCCTTTCGGACAGCCACGCAGATCCGGTGACGGCGTCTCTGTCTGGTTCACGCAAAGGACACTTTGCTGCTAAATCCTGCGCTGCGGCAAAACCACGGTGAAATATTTAAATATACTGAACATGTCTCTTTGAAGTTACGAAGGAATCTTCTGCCCACTGCGTATATGTATTATTAGAAGAACCCAATATCCGGATACATCTGGTACGTCCCACCAGTGTCTGCTGCATGGCTGATGCTACATCCATGACGGGGGCCTCTCTACACAGAAGGTGTATTTTCCACAGTGATCCAAACAAGTACTCAAATACAGAAACTGGTTCCTCTCCAACATGCAAGTCCTCACCCTGAGCTGCAATGTTCAAACTAGAATGAAACATCAAGGAGACACTCAGATATAATAGAAGAGAGAAAATAACTAAAGTAAATGAGGGACCTGGATTAACAGGAAGCTTATCGTCACGGAGATGCAATCCGTAAGGATTCTGAGGCCTTTCAAAGGTTTCAGAGAGTGACCATACTATGTTCTTCAGCTTTCTTCTCTACTTTCGCTCATAAAGGCATGGTAGTTCCTCATGCAAGACCCAGAGAACCACACACACTAAAACATTCAGGATCACACCTGAGGTCTCTCGACTGTGTGGTTGGACAGCAGCACGTGACTTGACCACGTGTCCCAGACTGAGGGACCTGGACATGTGTGCCTCATACAGCCAGTAGGCACGGCCCTCTCTATGGTCCCAGAAGCAGAGGGGCCGTGGGTCCCATGAACCATCAGCCTTCCCATCACTTACAGTGTAGTGGGAGTGCAGACTGCAGCAGCAGTTGCTTAAGACGTGTCTGACCTTTGATCCCATGGCCCCGGAACACTAGGTTCCCTGTGGGACCAGACAGGCTCGCTCAGCCCGCTGACAAGGTGATTGACGAGGATGCTTGGTCAAAAGGCTCCAAGGGGAAAAATAAATATTACCAAAGGCAAAGCCCACAGCCTGAAGCTTTCAAGAGCCATGGAGCTCCTCAGATGAAGATGATCACTAGGGGAGGCTGTAAGGCATGTCCACCACGAGATGACACTTTCCTTAACCTTTGAAATGTTTTTACACTGAGTCCTTATCTTAAAAACCTGGGCAGCAGAATGTAGAGCATCTGTTTTTTTTTTTCTCTAAAATAACGTTTTTCACTCCTTCAAGAATAACTTCACTGCCCGCAAAAAAAAAATACTTCAACCCAAATGCTTTGGATTCTGTATGTAAAACACTTAACCAGAACTATAAAACAGCCATCTCACGTGCCAAGCTATATTCTAGATTAAGCGTTTTTCGGAAACTCTCTGAATCTCTCGCCTGACCCTTTGGTATTTCTCACTTAAAAAAAAAGGGCATCAAACGCTGATGTAATGAGGTCCCCTGGCCGCCGGCCAGCGCTGGCTCCCGATCTGAGCTTCACCTAGACTTCAGCAGGCGTGCGACACAGCTGCGGCGAATCCAATGACGCGAGGTTACACGCGAACACAGGCTACGTGAAACGTCGCGTCAAGGAGAAACGGGGCCCTCGCCACTTCAGCTCTCCTCCTCTGCGTCACGCGGGCCTTCCCGTCTGTCCGCTGCCCATGGGTCATTAACTCCACCGTCGTCTGGCCGAGCTTCAGGCCCCCTTTATCCCGGCTTTTGTTTCCGGCTAGGCGCTGGTGCGGACTCGAGGGTGCCAGCCAGCAGTCGAGCTGTGGCGTCCTATTAACATTGCAGTTCTCTGCCGTGACGTGTTTGCGCTGAGAGCATAAATAAGGCAGGAAGTGCTCTGAGCCTGAGCTGGTGCTGACGGCGTCACATTCATGTGGGTCTGCTGAGGCGACACCTCGCAGCCAATCACCGCAAATGACCTGGGGCTCAAAGGCAAGTTTTGCCGTTACTCAGCCGCGGTCGACTCCAGTATAAACCTTGACGACTTTACACTGGATGGATTTATTAATGTGCTGCTATTACTTTTAGACCATAAAATGCAGCAATAACACTGTGTTCAGAAAAGTCCCAGATTAATTGACAAATGCCTGATTACCACGGACGTGATGGAAAGAGATAATCTGTGTGTATTTTTACGGAGGTTTGTTTTCACCAGCGAGAAGTTCAGAACTTAAATACGTCTTAACACAAGTTTAAGACTCTTTCTACGAAAGCCAGCAAGCTTAAAATAACATTTTCATTAAACACAAATGTGAATAAACTAAATAGTTTGGGGACCGGCAACAAACCAGAACATCTGCTATATAAAAGAAAACAACCAGAAAAAATGGAAAATCAATCTCTCATATACAAAAGCAGTCATCAGTAATCAGAAACCGCAGTTTTGTTTTTTTTTTGCTTCAAATTCAGACAATTAGTTACAAATATGTATTGTAATTACAAAGGCCTCAATAAAGCTTCAGATACAGGACTTTGTGGTTTGACATGCTTCTTTTCCACTGATTTTGCCGGTTACGCTTATCAGAGTGCCGCAGAGATGTGGGTGGTGTATATCACCGTGAATCTAGGGTGGGAAATAGCGAGCAGATGCAGTGGGGTGACCGTACCCAGCGTTCCCAGTCGGTCCACTCAGACAGCCACCCGCCCTCGTCTGAGGAGCCCGGTCGTGACCTCTGACCTTTAAATGCGTCCCCAGCTGGAGCAGGGCCGCTGGCTGGGACGGCTGGCTGTAACGTACACCGGCAGCAGCCATGACGCAGACGTGGGCAGCTGCAGCAGCGCTCTGGCGGAGGGTGAGGACTCATTCATCTTTTTCCCTTTCATTTGTTGATGCTGTTTTCCTTCGGTCACTTTGAAGTGATTCGTGGGGGGGGGGGTGGCATACGGGGGTGCAAGCCCAGGCTTAGCGCGGCGGAGCTTGACATAACAAAATGCGCACTCGCTCCTACCGAGATGGGGGGGACATGTTCCGGCCCGAGCGGGGACGTCACCTTTCTGACACCCCGCCAGCTGCCCCGCTTCCGACGTCGGACTTTTCCACACATTCCTGCGGTTACGTCATACTCCGGAGGTTCTCCCAATGTTCGTCATGTGGCCAAACGCATACCTTTAATGCGCCACGGTCTTCTTAAGAAGCGACATGGATGGAGGGAGGCGTGTCGCCGGCCACGAAGCAGGTAAACAGCATCGCCAAGGACATGACACTCTGGCTACACTGGAAACACAGCGTCCGCCTGCGACAAGCCAGATTTACGGTACTCGATGCTAGCTAAGGACACTTAGTTACTACAGCGCACAACTTTTGCTCTCCAAACAGCACTGAGCACTCAGTCGAGCTGGGGTGCTCCTTCCTCGTGCTCCACGCATCCCAGGATTGGCTCCAAGCCCCCTGCAACCCTTTGCTGCATGTGCACTTGCAGTTCTGTAAGACCACGCTAAGCCATGCCCTGCCTGACGTGTGGGCCGAGGCTCTTAAGGTGCCACTGTACTGAACAGAGATTCAACATATAAACAAAGGCACTCTGGGCGACACTGACTGAATCATGCACTGTCCATGCACCCCCCACAGTGCAGCGACTATACACCACAGCGATTATACACCACAGTGCAGCGACTATACACCACAGCGATTATACACCACAGTGCAGCGACTATACACCACAGCGATTATACACCACAGTGCAGCGACTATACACCACAGCGATTATACACCACAGTACAG